AGGAGGGGCTCCATGCGGGCTCCCGGCCCCCTTCACCTTTTTCCCGGGTTCGGCACCCGAAATGCTGGCGAGAGGCTCAGCCCTGCCCCTGTGCCCCCCCAGTGCAGCCACCAGGGCTCCGGCAACTGCACGTACCGCAACTTCACCAGCGCGGCGCAGGCGGTGACCGAGTGGTACATCCTGCAGTCCACCAGCATCCTCTCCCGAGTGCCGCTGCAGGAGAGGATCCGCATGGGCTACCAGGCAGAGGACATGATCCTGGCGTGTCTCTACGGGGCCGAACCCTGCAACTACAAGTAGGTGCATCCCGAGCTCCCGGACTTTTCTGTCACGCCAGGGATGGCGCAGGACGCTGAAGGCATGACGGTCGTTCTCTTTTCTCTTTTCAAGGTATAGATCAGTTAGCAAAGAGGCTTCTGCTGGTTCTTAACTGTAACAACATTTCCCAGAGGGTTTCTGGATGTGATCCTGCTCCAGTGGGTTATTCTGGCCTAGTGCTGGCGTGAGTTTCAGTTTTGGACGGGCCGTTTTGCTCACGACTTGGATACAAATGGCATCGCTGGGACCTTCCCAGGGTGTTTAGTGGTAACCAGCGTCCCCGGCACTGCAGTGCAGCCCCCAGTTACAGCCCCCCCTCTTTCTACAGAAGGCTCTGAGAAATGTGCTTTAGCCATCGCTGTTCCTCGTGAACACCAAATTTATAAATGCAGTTCCGAGAAATGTGAGCGCACGGCAGCAGCCCAGGCTGCACTGAGTGCTGCCCCTTCCGCGAAGAGGGCAACCGAGAATTGTTGTCAAAGAACGGGGTATAACACCAGCCAAAACCTGTTACCGTAGCTCAGATCAAGCAATTATTTCTCTCGTCTGTGTGACAGATGATTCCTTTCCATTCCGACAAAGCGTTATCCCCAGCGGCTCTGTCTCAGTACACTCCAGTACCTTGCTTTGCTTTTTTTTTCCCTCAACAGCAGTTTGATTGAAATGACATCAGCTGAAATTTCTATACAGGCATTCAGCAAAGGAAGCAATTTAAAGTGCATCCCAGGCGTAGCTGCCAAGCACCGGTCCCACCAGATGCATTATTTTATAACCCTTTAGTCCTTCCCAAGAGTCACGGGTTTATGTGCATGATTCTTCCAGGAATTTCACCCAAATCTATCACCCAGACCACGGCAACTGCTACATCTTTAACTGGGGCATGGATGAAGAGGCTTTGAATTCTTCCAACCCCGGAGCCGAGTTTGGTAAGAGCGAGCTCTGCTGGGGAGGAAGGAGCCAAAGGAGCGGGCGGGCTGGGGGTTACTCCGTCGGGTGTAACGGATTTACCGTTTCTGTGTCCCTGGAGCGCCGCAGCGGGGAGTGACGGATCCCAGGAGGGGATAAGCCCCAAGAGGGAAATGTGTCACATAGAAACAAGTAATGTGCCTACAGGAGTTACACTGCAGAAGGGTAACATCTGGATAACCAAAATAGCTGAGGCAATGTCCCAATATTCACTCAGATATTTCCACTCTGTGCTTTTCCCATCACGTGTATTTATACCCGTGCGAGGCCGACGGAGCCCGGCTCTTCCCCCAAGGACGGAGAATTTTGTGCACAGTGAAAAGAGATTGGACTCCTTTTTCTTCCAAAGATGCGCATTTCGATACAATTCCTGTTCTGAGTGTGTTGTTCGGTGTCGCAGGGCTGAAGCTAATCCTGGACATCAGCCAGCAGGACTATATCCCCTACCTGTCATCCGCTGCCGGGGCCAGGCTGATGCTGCATCAACAGAAGAGCTTCCCCTTCCTGAAGGATCAGGGCATCTATGCAATGGCCGGGACAGAAACCTCCATCGGCGTGCTGGTGGTATGTGTGGCATTCCTCTCGAGCAGATTGTCTCAGAATAATGTTATCTGATGGGACCAAAACCAAGTTTGTTTTAAGTCTTGGCTGAACTGGCTCAAACCAAAAGAGTCAAGGTGTACTCTAGCCGTGGGCTGGAACAGTTTATGGAGACTTTTATGTAATTATCCTGGCAAAGTGCTTTATTGAAGGCAAAATACTGAGCTTGAATCACTGTTCCTTCTTCCTTTAGCATGTCAGAAGGTGCCTTGCTAAAACGTGCTGCTCTTGAACACCCTCACCTGCCTCGATCCGCCCTGGGGAACGGGCTGCATCTCCTTCAGCTTTGCTGCCTACCATTCTTTGAGTTTTTTCCAGAGCCATCAGGGAAAACAGAGGAATTGCAGTCTCTAGAAAACGGGCACCAGGGACCTGGTGAGGAACTGAAGTTTGCTGTTTCGGTTTTCTTCCAGGACGAGCTGGAACGGATGGGTTATCCCTACAGTGACTGCACCATGAACGGGTCCGACGTCCCCGTAAAAAACCTCTATAGCCAATATAATACTTCCTATTCCATACAGGTAAAACATGTTTTTAAATCGAGCAAGTCTGTGTAGGAGAAATTGTCAAAGCAATTAAAACCGCTGACTAGCATGCAGGATTAGAAAGCATAACCTAAACGTGGGAACCTTCTGGTAATAACTCTGCACTCGAGTCCAGACACTCGGTAGCGCCAGGTCTGGGAACGATCCCAGTGGGTCCAGTGGAAATAACCGCGCGTTGCAGGAGCAAGACCGAGAAAACTTGCACCAGCACAGTTCAGCATAACCTTCCCTCTCACACCAAAACATCTTGTACGGCCCGGAAAGGGCATCAGCACTTTTTGTCCCCTTAGCCAGGTATGAATTTTATTTCATTCTGAGAGGATGAAAATGGTCATTTCTGTAATTTTCTCAAAAAGCCAAACCGCAGCAAACCCCCCAAGATCTCTGTTGTTACAGGGGACCCCGCTGTGTGTGAGCTACCAGCAAAGCCCCGATTTGCAGGCAAAACAAAGCAAATATTTTCACCTCCACATGCTGGAGGTAAATCCTGGTTTAATGCTGGTCCTGCCCTCGTAGCCTGTCGCCTCGGGACTCGGCTCCCCGGAGCAGAGGGGTCCCACTGCCCCTGAAAGCCAGACGAAGCGAGAGCAGCCTCGCCTGGCCCCTCAGTCCCTTAAAACCCGCTGGTGCTTCAGCTTCTCCCCCTCTGGGCTCACCAGCAGCCCGGGTTGCTGTCACTGGTCGGTCACCGCCTCGGCTCGGAGGGCACTGGCCGAGGAGTCCTCGCTCCCTCCTTGCACTGGTTTCACTGGGAGGTGCTGGGCACCACTGGAGCCCCCGGGTGACAGAGGCAGCCCCCTCCCTCGGTGCAGGGGAGAGGGGCTGAAACCCCCGACAGCTTTGGCTAATGCCAGTTCCTTAATGCTGTAGGAAACACCGGGAAAATACCTCTTCCAGCGATCCAGCCGGGAGCGCGGAGCTCCCGGTGCTGCCCGGGGACCCGACCCCGGCCGGCTGCGGGCACGGCCTCAGCCCCATGCCAGTTAATTTCATTTTTTCAGCTGCAAGAGCACCTTTTCCCCCTACACTTCCCACGCTTGACTGAAATCTTAGATATAGATAAATCAACCAGCACGGAGTCGCCTCCAGCCACCCCCGTGTGCCGCAGGGCAGCCGCGCCCGGGGATGGCAGAGCTGCCCCGTCTGCCCGCAGCGGCCGCGGGGAGGC